CCACAATATCATTATTTATATGATTACTATTATTGGATTAATTTTACTTTTATTTCTTAAACTATTGTTATTTTTGCTAATTTATACTTATAAGCTATTAATTTTATCTATTTAATTTGAAAAATTTTAAATCGCATTTAATGGGACTGTTTGGTATAGATTCTAAGATGTGATTATAACTTATTTTAATTTTGGAGTCTATGCAAAACAATTTGGTGCAGTTTCTAATTATATGTTATTAGATAGAAAGTAGCTTAAATACGCTGATTATTTAGAAGTTAGAAAAAATTTGATTTTAACTTCTACTTTCTAATTATCGGATTTTAGCTTAAAAAAAACTCTACCAAACATGGCCAATTTAAACAATTTCTTAAATTAGTAACCATTAAAACTTAATTTGATGAACAAAAAAATAAATAAATAAATAAATCGATTTTCTACAAATAAAAATCTATTTCAAAATCCATTTTCTAACCGTTAAAGCTTCATCATTAAAGTTGTTTGAGGTTTGCTTAGTATACTTTTTAATTTTTTACAAAAAAATGTATAAAAAAATAGAGAAGTGTTGTAACTCAAAATAAGCACTTATTTAGTGCATTGCCAAACAATCAGCTTAAACAATTTGCACTCTACAACTAAAATTCCATTTTCCTTCTCTACACCTCTTTTCAAAATAATGAATAAAAAAAGTGAGTGCTCTTCTTTATATGATTTAAGTTATTCAAATCATAAAATTACTGTTTTTTTGTCTATTATATTCAATTTTCATATTACAGATTTGGACGAATTGTGTCCAGTTGATATGAATTGGAATAAGAGACTTTATAAATTAAATAGATCAAATTAATAATTGAGAAATTAAATAGAAAAAAGTAACAATAATTTAGAAAATAAAAGTAAAATTAACCAACTACTACAATGGTTTATAATAGTTGGAGATTACGTAAACAGAAGCATGCGCAAAGTAATTTATTAGCCTGCGCATCACATCTTGACTTTTAAAATTCTTAACATTTTTATTTTTATTTTTATTTTTTTGGTAGGTTTTAAGTTAAATTGATCTAATATTTTAGGTTTAAGTTGAATTGGGGCAAACAAATTTTTTTTCTTATTCTTAGAAGGACGTAAGAATTAGATTAAATTATGCTTCATCCACAAATATGTCTTCTTTATTTATTAATATTTAAAATTACATAAATATTGATGTTGCTATTGGTTTTTGATAAAATTAATATTTTTGTAAGTCTCTTATCGAGATCTACCAATTAAGATGAATGTTAATTATGAAATTTAATATATATATATATATATATATTCAGACAAATTTTATTGTCTAAGTAATGCTAACACTATAAAGTTTTACTCCATTAATTAGGATAGTAATATATGAATTTATCATTAAATTGAAATTTCACCATCACCATTACTAGCCACTGCGTTTGTCACGACAATTATCATTATTAGCAAAAATATTAAACGATAAATTTATCAAAATAAAATTTCATTGTATTTACTTAACCTAGATAGCAAAATTTTACCATCCAAATTAAAATAAATCATTTTTTTTTCTTTACAGTCTCCAATATAATGTTGAATAACTAGTGTCACTTGTTAGAAGTTTGTACATATCATGCATTTTAAATATAGAGTTGTGCTCATACAAGTAAGTGAGATAGATTCCTTTTCAAATGATTTTAGTAGTATTATTAATAAACATAATCTTTTACATATATATGTTGCTGAAGACAACAGTGAAAATAATTGATTTGCACATTCTGGTTTTGTCATAAACTACTAAGTCGGCTCCTCATATTGATTCCCCTGACAAAGACAATACGAAGATCAAAAAGCAAAAACTCCTCTTCCTCAATCAACAATTTACAACGTGTTTTAAGAGATTTGGAAAGAAATTTAAAAAAAAAATAAGAAAAAGAATGTGAAATGTGAATAAAATATATTTACATTTTCACACATTTTTTCCTTATTTTTCCAAATCCCTTCTTAAATCTCTCAATCAAACACAGTATTAGTGAAATCATAATTGTAGAAAAGGATACTTCTATCTCAAAGATTTAACAATATCATCACTCATGACTTCCTCTACGAGCACGATCAAGTTCATCTCGCTAGAAAATAAACAGAATGAAAAGCCAAGTCCTTTGTTTGTGGTTCCTCCTATCATCTTCTTTCTCTTGAGCAACTTCAATACTGTGTAGTACCCTAAGAATTATTCAGTGAATGACCTTGAACATTAAAATATTTTGATTTGAACTTTTCACAAGATGCAATTTTATATGAGGAACTTGTGGGGAATTTTTTTTTTTTTTTCACTTTTTTAAATGTATTTAAATTAAATATATGATTACACAATTTAGTAATTGGTATTGACTTAGCTATAAAAGGTCACACTAGTAATTTTGTGCATTTTCCTCGATCATAGAGAATGCAACACAAAACATAATATTTATGGAGAAAATTCTTTTTGAATTATACGATAGTGATAATCTTGAATTTATGAGCTATAATAATTACTGTTTTAGTTTGAAATAAAAAATCACATATTTTGTATAAAAAATTAAATTTCATACATGATTAATTTTTCATTAAGAGTTTGAGAATTTTCAAATACTATGGCTTAGTTTTATATGTTAGCAACTCAAAATAATCAAGATGAATATTGACCGCACATATTAAAGCCCATTTTAATATATATTTAATATTTTGATAAAAAACAATTAAATGTGCTCTGGCCTATAGGAGTTAGGCTTCATATGGTTTCTTTTTTACTTTCTCTCTTTTTTTCTTTTTTTTTTTTATAAATTTTTTGGATCTATCTTAATTAGAAGATTCTATTTTTTATTTTTAAATTGATTCAATTTAAACTTTTTATAATAAAGAAGAAAATAAGCCAAATTTTATATACATACAAAAATTAATGGCTCTGTTTGGTTTTAGTTTTCATAATTCACTTTTTAGAAAAATTTATTTTTTCGTTTTCCATATTTTTTTTTTGTTTTCACTGAATTTTAAAAATATTTTAAGTAATGTTTTTAATTTTTAGAAGCACCTAACATAAATACACTCAAAAAGTATAATATTATGAAAAAAAATCTTTAAAAAATTCACTAAATACCAAAAATACAAAAAAAAAATGAAAATTCAGTATATTTTTCGTATTTTGTGTATTTATTAATTTTTAAAAATATTTTTTCATAAATATTTTACTATTTTGATACATCTAAGTAAGGTGCATCTAAAAAAGTAAAAAAAATAATTATTTAAAATTTAAAAAATATTCACTAAAAATTAAAAAAAAATACAAAAAATAAAAAATTCAATTTTCAGAAAAGTAAAACTAAACACACCGAACAACTTTTGTCCTTAAATTTTTAATTTTTTTTTAGGACTATGAAAAGTCAAAAAATTGATATAATTAAAAATAGAAAAAATTATTATTCAGTGTATTTTTTTAAAAATAATTATAGATAAATGATAAACTCTATAAATATTAATTATTAAAATTACAAACTTTGTCATATATATGTAATTATTTTGTAAAACAACCACTAAGGGATTATTTGAGATAATCTATTTCAGATCATCTTTTTATTTTATTTAGGTCATGTGGAAAGTTGAGAATTCTCCATACGAAATGGGAGATGAGGTAGTCCTTCCTTTACTTTGCAAAGAGAAACCAATTAGTCACTACTTGCTCCCGACCAGATCTGGTCAGGAGGACCCTCTGACGATCAAGTTAAACATATGATCAGCCATAAAATATTTACTTTATAGTATAGGTTCTATAGTTTCTTTTATACTTGCCATTTGCTTTTCTTTACTTCCCCTTTTATAGTGTTGTGGTTCTGGCCTTAACTGTTGGATTGTCATCTTTATCTAAGGGTTCTGATTATCGCTAGACTTTGGCCGGGTAAGTGGTTAGGTTACTTTGATTCTTTTCCATTGGATTACCTTACTGTGTACGACTTAAATTATGTCAAGCCTCTTAGGGACAACCTGCTAATTGTCTCATTCGTCCGATCAGGTTCATCGGACGACCATTTCCTTTATACGGGCTAGTCCTATGCACCTATCTCTGGTGATTATGATCTTCATTGTTCGCTGTGAATTAATCTAACGGCCCTCTTACATTTTGCAAATCTTCTTTTAGATGGTGATTTTGTTCAGGCTTTAGTCAGATAACATTATTCTTTCTTTCGTCAGACTTATCAATGGTTTGGGCCTTCCTTGATTTGGGTCTTGGGCTTAACATGTCTTGTCCTTGGGCCAATATTTTCACCCCTCTGCAGGTCATATCATCTTTTATTTAGGTCGCATTATCTTTCTACCACATTGTACATATTTTCGTAAAAAGTATTATTTAGAGCATCCCAAACAATTCCTAAATAGTGAATGGAGAAATCTGCTAACCTAGACTTACCCACCAAGAATTTTTTTAAATGGATGATTGTGTGGTGTGGAGTTCATACAGGGTTTATGTTAGAGATTACTTTCTAAATTTGTTGATAAGGATGAATTTGTAGGAGTGTAAAAATAGCCTGTGGTTCGTGGATGGCCCGCAGCCAGCGATGGGCTCGGCCCGATTAAGCTCAGATTGGAGCCTAGCCCAGTCCAATCTGAGACCCTAGGCCTGGGCCTAGGCTATCATTTTGAAATCCGGCCCGGCTCGTGGCCCGCTCAAGTCCCACTCAAAGCTTAGCCGGGCAAAGATCCAATGTCATTTTTTGTAAAAAAAAAATAAAATTTTGGTATAAAAATAAAAAAAATAAAAAAAAATTAAGCTTGAGCTCAGGGCAGGCCCATTAGCCCGTCTAAGGCTCGAATCCTCCCTATATCTAAGCCTAATTTTTTGGCCCAACCGGGTTCAAATTTTTGCGAAGCCAACAAGGCTTGACAAGTGCCGGCCCAAGTCCGGACCCGGATGAACCGAGCCGGACCGGGCCAAATTCACGCCCGTTGTTATGATGGAAAAGTGCGGTGAGGGTTTGGAACTAGCATTAACCAAACGTACCACTGACCTCTCTCATCTGAACCCCCTCTCCTCGATCAATTCCGTTTTTCTGTTACTCAAATGAGTCAAACCACTCTCAGCTCCCAACTTCTTCACCACCAACAACAATGGTTGCAGATCCCTCCTCAACCTTCCCTCTCCTCACTTTCCCTTCTCAAAAACCTCTCCTACAGCTACATCCCTCCCAATTCTCTTCTTCTTTTCCCACGAAAATATCACTCATCCTCAGGTCTCTCTCCCACTCTCTCTATATGCAGACGCAGTTGTGTTTTGTAAATGATTTTTGTTTTAATCTATGCAGAGGGACGTTGTTTAGGGTTTCGGATCCCAATCGATGACTCGGTTTCTCGGCGTGAGTTGTTTACCTTGCTCTGTAATTTGATTTTGGTTGTTAATGGATGTTCTTTGTTTTTTCATTTTGTTTGTCTTAATTATAGTTCGGAACTCAAGATTACTACTAGTCAGTAGATGTGTATCGGAAAAGTTCTCGGATTCATTCGAGTCTGATCAGTTTTCGAATCCTGTTCTTCCCTATCCAACTCAGGTTAATATTTTTAACTATACTCCCTTTCTATTCCTTTTTTTGTCCTTATGTATACTTTTGGGATGATTTAAATAAATGTATTTTTTATTTTTTTACGAAAAAATATGAATAAAAGTAAAAAGGTAATATGATAAAAAATAATAAAAAGATGAATTATTTTGTAGTAGTCAAATTTGACCTAATATAATTTTATTTTATACTCGAATTATATTCTTTTTCCAGTGGTAATATTTTATCTTACTTTTTTGGTCGCATGTGGAGTGTCCTGGAAAAGCGAACTGTTCAGCAAATCAGAAAAGATATCTTCTGGGGAAAATAACAATGAAGTAGGAATATTATTATTATTATTATAAAAAATTATAAATATTAATAATTAAAAGTATAAATTTTAAAAATGATTGATTCACTAAATTTGGAGTCCCCTGAATTACCCAAATTACGTAAGCCGGCCGACCGACCACCTAGATGACTGGTGTCACCTTTGTCAATCACAGTTATCACCTTTGTCAATCACAACTATTAGGCTTGTCAACCGGCATCCGCCTGGATGACCAACTAAACGACCTCTCGGATGACCCGGTGTTTCAACTAGCACGCACAAATTCAAGCAATTCGGGTGAGCTCAAATTCAGTAGATGTAGCATTACTGTTATAAATTTTTTCATTAATGTAATTAATTTTGCCTGACATCACTGTGTAGTAATTGTCCCTATCTTCTACATATATAAAAAATATAGATATTAAAAATTAGTGTAATTCTATCTGCACACCATGCAAACTCTCAGTACACATCACAAATACTGTTTGAATATTAATTTTTGAATTTAGATATAAATTTATGAACATAAAATAGTTGTTCGGATATAAATAATTGAAAGGAATGTTTATTTGAACAATTTTTTTTTGTTCATAACTTTAATCCAAATATTTGACATTTGTTCGGAAGTTTATCCGCACACCATTTGTGGTGTGGTCAAGAGTTTGTATGGTGTGTAAATTGAATTTCCCTAAAAGTTACAAGAAAAGTTATACATAAATAAGAAAGAAATCTTAGTATTAAAATTACAATAAAATTTGTTGTATAGTGTTTAGTAATAATATTTAATAAAATCGTAATTGATGATAAGAGGAGGCCTTTGAAGTGGGAGTTTCTACTCCAAATTTATATATATATATATATATATGTATATATAGAAAGAAAGAAAGAAGATTAAAAGAATAAGATTTATAGTTTGCCTGGTTCTCATTAACCGTTACCGGTTGGTTGAATCGCAGTTTTTTTACTGGTTTTGTTGAAATACACCGGTTTTAGGTAGAGAACGGTTTTGAGGGTGAGTCCAGATTTTAAGACATTTGTCTGGGATGGTCATGGATGGCCAGTTGTCTTCAGTGAACTAGAGTTTGGTTATTTATTTTCTGCTGTATCTCATATATACTGAATCCCAATCTCACATTTGCTTTGTGTCAGAAAACTGGTGCCATAGCTCCCTTGCCCATTCACTTGGTGTCCACATTGTTACGATATCCTTATTCCAGATTTTTAGATGTTTCTGCCCCTAGTCAAATTTGGGCCAAAGCTATATGTCATGGAAAATTCATCCAAGTTTCGACTGACCTCTTGTTCTGGTGGGTAGAGCTTCCAGTATATGGACGGTTGGTTGAGGTTGTTTCAGAGTATAAAACCTTGGAGATCCCTTTTAAATCCTAAATTAGCATCTTTTACATGTTGCATAACAAACAAAAGACCAAAAACCAGGAGGATAAGTATGCATAGACTATAGCATGCTCTATGAGAAAATATGTTTTATTATAAATAATAACAAGCTTTGCGTGAACAAGTAGGATCTCCCTGTCCACCCCCTTTTTTCTTTTTCACCCAAATCTTCAGTGCATGCGTGCTTATAAAGCATTGAAAATAAAAATACAAGTACATGCATCTCTTTTTGGATGTGCAGAGTTTCAGTAGCTTGTTTGTATTGATCAGTAGGGGCATTTCTGTGTGTTGCAATACATCTGTATTGAAATTTTACTATTGATATTCATTCTGGCCAATTGCAGTTTTTGTTTTTTGTTCATCGACATTAGGTATTTGAAGGTATAATGGCGTCCAGGTTGATAATATTTGATATTCATCTTATCTCAGATTCATAAGCAAAAGGAGGCTTCTTTTGTGAAGATTTTGAAAGGAGCAAATTCAATTCTACCTCAAGTAGTTATTGCTAGTACAGTTTTGGCCCTTCTCTATCCACCTTCGTTCACATGGTTTACTAGCAGGTTTTTTGGACATTCTTTGTATAGTTAAGTTAGCTATGAGCAGTCCTATTTTTTATATTTTTATTATTGCATCTGAGAGAAACTAATTAGGAAAAACGATATATTTGGTTGAATTAATCATGCATCATTGTTTGAAATTTCACTGAAGTGATTTCTTGCTGAGGAAAGTTTTATATGCAAAGCTTGGAGGTCATTGCTAGGATGATGCCTTTTAAAAAGCCACCTGCTTCTCATTGGGATTTGCAAAAGGTTCTTTTGTAAGGTAAAAGAAAATTGTGGTAGAGGCAAGATGACCTGGGAATATAGGCTATTTCAGCTCTCTCTGCTTTTGTTCCCTCAAAAAACATGGTTTATTTCACTTCATTATTAATGAGTGTTAATTATACAAGGAAACAACAATTTAAACTAGGAAAGTAGATCAAAGATATAATTTAAAAGCCTTTTCTTACAAAGCATATATATATATATATATATTTTGGTTTTGTTACCTCATGCTAGTGAAATTAATTGACCGATGAAATTTGTTTAATTGGAGGGTTCATACTCTTGAATGGGTAGCTAGTTATAAGAAATTGTCACTGCAAGTATGCACTGATTTTTGTATCCGAACAGATGGATGCTAACAGCTGCTATGTTCTAGTATTGTCATGGTTGAAAAACAACATACACAGTAATGCCAAATAACAAGTCTCCATAATGCATCTGAAACTGAAATAAATATATAACTTATAAGTATATAAAATAAATAAAAATAATACAATAAGACTTTGCATCTTCTACAAGGATCAATCAAAGGTTTTGTGGAAATGGAGCAATTAGTTTTGACTACTATATGAATATCCCAGGTGCAACTAATGATGTACAGTAAATTGAATTTGGCTTGCTCTTGGTATGCGATGCCAAATTGTTAGTTGAACTGGTTCAAGGGAGATTAAATTACAGCTTGTAAGGGTTCTTCAAATTTTATACCAATCACATGAACTAAATACTTTCTTTCAACCATTTTCAGATACTATGCTCCAGCGCTAGGGTTTTTGATGTTTGCAGTTGGGGTTAATTCAAGTGAAAAAGACTTTCTTGAAGCATTCAAGAGGCCAGCAGCAATATTGGCTGGTTATATTGGCCAGTTTGTGGTGAAGCCTCTCCTTGGATATGTTTTTGGCACAGTTTCAATTACAATATTTGGTCTTCCAACTTCTTTAGGTAACCAGTCAGTCTGTCTTATCTCACCAAAAAAATAAATAAATAAATAAAGTGTATGCTAACCTTGGCAATACCAGGTGCTGGGATCATGTTGACTTCTTGCGTTAGTGGGGCTCAGCTCTCAAATTATGCTACCTTCCTGACTGACCCATCAATGGCCCCTCTAAGCATTGTGATGACATCATTGTCCACTGCTAGTGCAGTTCTTGTCACCCCAATCTTGTCACTCTTGCTTATTGGAAAAAGATTACCTGTTGATGTAAAAGGAATGGTGTCCAGTATTCTGCAGATTGTAGTTGCACCTATTGCTTCTGGATTGCTTCTTAATAGGTGATAAACTGGTTTAAGTAAATCATTTAACATGATATCCCCATTAGTCCCTCCATGTCTTATACTTTATTTTTTTTTGTGCCTACAGGTTCTTTCCTCGGATTTGTAATGCTATTCGGCCATTTTTGCCTCCACTGTCAGTATTTGTGACTGCTCTCTGCGTTGGAGCACCACTCGCTATTAACATAGATTCTGTTTTGTCCCCTTTTGGAGCATCTGTTCTGTTCCTCGTCATTGCATTTCATTTGTCAGCTTTTATTGCCGGTTATTCCCTTACAGACCTTGTCTTCCATGATGCACCTGATGCGAAAGCACTGCAAAGAACACTATCCTATGAGACAGGTTTAACGGTTGTGCAGTGTCCTCACTATAGTATAGGAAGAATATATTGTTGTAACTAATTGATTACTGTATCCGTCCTGCAGGAATGCAGAGCAGTCTTCTTGCCCTTGCACTTGCAAATAGGTTTTTTCAAGATCCACTTGTGGGTGTCCCTCCTGCAATCTCTGTAAGTCAATGGCTCATGAATCAGTTATGTTACCATTATTGCTCCAGAAAGAAAACTCTTTGAGCAAAATTGCAACTTTTTTTGTTCGAGAAAAACAGTTGTTTTGGCTGCTATAAGTTATTCCATGTTAAGTGTTTCTACAAACTCTTTGTTGCAGTTGACTTAGTGGTGATGCATTCTCCTCAGTATTCTCCTTTTTATCATTCTTCTTTTTATTTGCTTTTTATTTTTTCTTGGTTTATCACATTTTCCCCTTGACTCTCCTTAAAGGAGGTAATTAAGTGGGATAATCTGCCAAGGTGTTATAGTGATTGGGTTGATCTCTATGGCTGGTTAATCTCAATATTCTTTGAATTTTTGTTGAACATACTGCTGGTTAATCTCAATCTTCTTCAAATTTTTGCTGAACATACTATAGATGAACTGATTATCAACATATAGTGTTAGCATTTTATATTTAAAAATTCTCTAATATCATACGCATCTACTTAATAGATATATAATAACAACCATGGGAATTCCCCAAAAGAGATAGTCAAGGGATGTCCTCTGGGCTCATTGCTTCCCAAAGGGGCTAGTCAATGGATGTCCTTTGGGTTCATTGCCCCTTGTAGATTTCTGATGTGTGACTCAGCACATGGAAATCCAGGTCGGGGTCAGTACATACATATATTGAATTATATAAATAAATGATACTAGGGCTTTAAAAAAATATCGATTTTTCATTGAGGTGATGTCGTGAAGATATAAATGTCCTCACATTATCTTTGTAAAGTTGACTGAGTAATGATATTATGGATAATGCTGCAAGAGAAGGATAGCTAAAAGAAACTTGAGTTGATATAAACCCACAGGTAGAGTTGAAGAATGAGAAACATTTGTATAACCCCTATGCTTGGGCTGTGGCTCAATTGAGTGAGTGAGGCCTTTAGCAGGTTTGTGTGAAGTGTTATAAGATCAGTCCTTTTGTTTATTCCTTTATGTTGTGTTTGGTTGGGGGATTTGAAAAGGGAAAGGGAAAGGGAAAAGGTGTGTGAAACTATGTGAAATATAGGCATGATTTATTCACATTTCACCTACCTTTTCCATTTCTCTTTTCAAATCCCTCTCCAAATCCTCCAACCAAACACAGCATTAAGCATGTCTAGACTTAGAATGTTCAATATGCATGAAGAATAAGAAACTACGGATTTAGTTACATACACTATTCTTTTTCAAAAGTTGGATCAGTGCACACTCTATCACTGTATCACATGAGCAAGATGGTGCAATATTGTAGCTTTACTGTTGTTTCTGTCTTTAATTTTCAAACCGGCTTTCGAAAATTCTGGTGTAAATGACTTTGCTAACTTTTTGAAGTTCACCACTGTTTCTGATGTATGCAGGTTGTAATCATGTCATTAATGGGCTTCTCTCTTGTCATGCTGTGGGCTAAGAAAAAGAACTAACAGTGGTGCTTTTTGCCATTAATTCCTAAGAAATATGTTGTATGTCATCCTCCATCCAAGGATGCATAGGTCTTGCAACAAACTTTCACGGTGCACTCTAAGATTGAAGCCATTAAGGAGATGTTATGAAGTGTCATTGTTAGATATCTGTCCTAATGTGTTCGATGGGCAGTTATTACAGGGCTATTTTATTGACCTGGAAAGGAAGTATTTGAGAACAAGTATCAAAAACAAAATATTGCATTATTGGCTTTTAGATGTGAAAATGCGTTGTTATTCTCATGCTGTTTTGTTGCTGTTGCTGTTGCTGATTGAATGTGGGGTTGAATTGTTTACTCCTTTGTCTTTCTTCTACTTGAAAAGGGATCAATTGTTCGAGAGCAATGGCAACAACATACATATCGATGTATAGCGATATGATGTAAATATTGAAACACCATTATATTTCTTGATGCAGCTGTTCACCTACAAACACAAGATGAACAAGTCTATTGAATACATGAATTTCCCCAATCAGGCTAAAAAAGAAAAAATCATATGAAAATAATGAGTGTTTTTAATTTTTGGGTAAATTACACTGATTTGCTTTTTTCATTTATAACTTGTTAGTCATATAGATTGAAAATTGATACTGTTAATTCTTTATACTAAAATATATGTTTTACCTTATTTATCTTTGAAAAAATTATTCAATACTCTTGTAGCAGTGTTTTAAAAATGTTTCCTCATTCATGGCAGAGAATGACTTATTCGAGACTATTAACTAGCACAAATACTTGTGGTAATTCATTGTTAAAAGAAAGTGATTTTCCCACGTTATATTTGTGATGATTTAAAAAAATTGAATGAGCAAGCATGTTTTTTGAGCCATAATTAGAGGCAATGGCCTCTCCCTCTCTCTCATGGGTGGTGAGTTTGTCAACCAAGTGGATTGACATTAGCCTCTCTAGTTGCAACAATGTACAATTTGTTTAGAAATTTTGGATAAATCATCATAAGATTACCATATCTTTAGACTTCTGGGTCACATTGGTTGCCAAACAGACATCCTGTTTGAACCTTCAATTTTTTAGTAATTTAATGTGATTTTTACACATGTATGTCAACAATAGCACCTCCCTCTAGGCCCTTTATGCTAACTATGATTTTCTTTTTTGACTGCTAAGGTTTTGATGTATCAAATCAAAATGGTTGAATATGAAATTGCCCTAGAGTTGTCCAGAAAGATGTGAATTTGTAGTGTGCTGCTTTTTGAGTTGTAATCATGGTTTTTTGACATATGTTACAAAGAGGATAGGTACAAAGGAAAAAAATGGAGGAAGTCCTTATAACAAATCATGATAAACTAGTTGTCACCAGTATTGTTTCTTTAAACGGGAAAAAAATGGGAGCTCTTCAATGGTTTATTCTCGAGTTTGTTGATTATTCATTTTTGTTTTCTTGCTTACTCTTTACATTATATATTACTCCAGAAAAATTATTCAATAGTGTTAGTGTATTATTCACCCTCACCTAGGGCTGAAAATGAGTTAAGTCCAGCCGAGTAGTTAGCACAAGCTTAATTTGTTTATATAGTCAGTCAATCTCAAATAAATTTTTAATGTGTTGAATATAGGTTGAACTCAAGTAATGTATTTTTTTTTTTTTTTTGCACTATATATGAACTCATCATGTGACTACTATTATAAATTTGGGAGCACCATATTATTATATTAAATTGGTACTCAAAAAGATTGAGATTAGAGCATCTCCAACGGTAGTAGGCATTTTACCTATCTAAATATTACTATAAAGTATACATTTTATTTTGCCTATCAACTGTTTTATGTTTTTACTCCAACCATGCTCTTTATTTTAGCTATTTATCCAAATACTATTAATTTTATAGAATGCCACGTAACAACAAAGATGGAGGAAAATGATCTTAATGATTGAATACATTTTGCCTAGCATTGAAGGCTAGCTACATGTAGCTAGTGAATATGAGTTGAGCCAAAATACCTAATCATATGCCTAGTGCATTGGAATTGAAAAAAGTGAATCAAACTAGGCATTTTAACTAACAAGTATTATATGCCTAGTGCATTGGAATTGAAAAAAGTGAATCAACTAGGCATTTTAACTAATAAGTATTATATGCCTAATCATAAGGCAACCAAAGTTAATAGGTGTGAGGTAAGAATCAAGTTAATATTTGGTTGCTTACAATTGGAAGTACGAAAAATTAAAGGCTCATTTGGGAAGTGAGTTAATTTTATTATTTTTTTATTATTTTAGTCTGCGGATTTGGTTTGGAAAGTGGGTTAGTTTTTTAATTTTTTTTTTGACTATTTTAGCTTGGACTTTGGGTTAGTTTTTTTTAATTTTTTTGACTTTTGTGAGAAAAAAAACAAAATGATTATGCTTTGAATGTGATATTTTGTCTTATTAATTTTTTAGCATATTTTATTTTTTTGTGACTATTTTAGCCTTTTAACCCCAAAAACCAACATGCCAAACGAAAGAGGTTAAAAGCTACTTTTTGGCTTTTAACTTCTTTTGGATCACATCATCTTTTTATTTTTTTACACATTTTTAAAAAAAAAATTAAAAAAAGTTAAAAACTTAGTTTTTAACCTATTTTTCAAAATAATCCTGAAAATCTCATTTGGGTTTGATTTTTTTGACTTTTATGAGAGAAAAAGTAAAATAATTATGGTTTGAATATGATATTTTATTTTATTAATTTTTTAACTTATTTTATTTTTAGGTAAATTACAAATACACTCCTGAGGTTTGATTAAAATACAAATCACCCCCTGTGGTTTTGAAAATTACATTCCATCCCCTGAGATTTTTAATTTCATAATAAATTGTTCATTTTATTAATAAATTATCAACTCAATTAACAGCTTTTAATGATATTATAAATATGTTTCAATTAATAATTTAAGTAATTTTATTATTGTATAAGAGAGCAATTATGAATTTCTTTTTTTAATTAATCTGTTAAATAAAAAAATTTAACAAGTGAGTATTTATAATTTTTTAAATTATAAAATATAATTTATATTTTAAATAAATTTTGAGAGGTATATTTGTAAGTTATCTATTTTTTTATAATTATTTTAATAAAAAAATCACGTTTTTTTTATAATTATTTTAATAAAAAAATCCCAATCTAACGTGTCAAACAAGGGCTTATAAAGGTTTTAAAAGAATAATTAATTAGATATAGGATGAAGAATAAAGTAGACCTTTCATTGGCCCATCAAAGTAGTCCTTGGACAAAGTGTAGGGTCAAAACATTGGGATAAACTCTCCCATGCCATTGCATTTTAGGCTCAAAAGAATTAAGTATTGAATTCAATTAAAATTATTAGTAGGACACAATTTTTGACCTCTGTAACTTTTTAGAGACCTCTCACATGGTTCCTTCCAAGCTATCACCATCATTTAGTTAATTTTGTCTTCCTTCATTCCCCATTCCACATTCAAGGAAAGAAAAAGTTCCTGAACGCTATAATTAATTGGAAGATTTTAGAGAAAAATTTAGAAAGGAAAAATAAAAAAAAAAATATGTAAAATTAATTAAATATAATATATATATATATATATATTTTAAATCTCTCTTCAAACTCTTTAATCAAACACAACGTAAAGATGTTGTCAATATTAAGTGAATTTTTTTAAGTTGGTCATTTAATTTGAGATAATAATTTAAGTTTGGTGGGCCTATTTTGGTGTTATTCTTGATAATTTTAACAATGTATGTTATAGGATTTGTTGAGTAGAATATTCATATAAAAAATTAAGATGATCGGTAACTACATATTTAAATCATATTTGTATTAAAAAAATAGATGGTCTATTCTTAAAATTACATTTGTTGTCTATTTTTTTGAGTAATGTGATACAAATCTATAGCTACTGATATCCGATTATTTTGATTTTTTGTATGAATATTCTATTTAACAAGTCCTAAAAAATGAACGGGCTGGATCACCAAGGTTAAACTCAAGACGAGCCTACCAAACCCAATTGGCTTCTTAAGTTGTATGGCCAACTTGAGATAATTCAAAGGTCAACTTGAGATAATCCAAACCCCTATTACGAATTATTTGCTGAACCAAAAATAATTTAAAATGCCCTTTTCTTATTTTTATTTTTATTTTTGAATCAATAGGGAGGAAAAGCATGGGACTATGTCTTATATGTAAGATTAGGTTATGTTATATTTATTATAGATTGCATAACATACCTATAAGGCTATAAACGTAATTTTAAAGATAATAAAGATAAAACAGCCATATGATCTTAAAGTATACATTCTATGTTTGTTTAATTCCAAAATTTCAATTTTTCCTTTTTCTAATGTGTTTTTATCTTTGGAATTAAACTAACACAGAATGCAACGTGATTTACAAAATTACAATTTTAGATATCAAAGTGACATAAAGTGGTTACATTATATTATATTACCATTCTGTAAATCATTTGGATGTCCCATTTGAAATTGGTTCATTTAGGCTCGATTTGAAAGACACAATTGATCAATTCAAAATTTGGAGGAGAAAAGTGACATAGAATGGGTGCTGCTAATAGCACACACATAAGCTTTTCAAATGTTTAAATTTTTAAAAAAAATTTGGACATCTTATTTAACACCAAAATTAATTTTCACTCTCTCAAACCCTAACTTTACCTATGCTACGCTACCCACCAACTCCAGTCCTCATTGCCACCTCCAACCCCCCTCACTCTTTGGCACCACCCCTAGATCTTCCATAACCTTTAGTGCCACCTCTTAGACCTTCCTTCTCATTTCATCCTCCAACTCTCCTTACCTTCCGTCTCTCTCATTCTTTGTCCTTCTTTCCCTTGCCACCATTAGTTGTCATGTGCAGAATAGGAGAGACAAAGAATAACAAGCAGTGAGAGAAAGAAATCGCGAAGATGGAAGAAGAACAGGGTCACGAGAGTGGAGCCTGTGAGAGTATGGAAGGATGAGGATGGGTTCTGAGAGGCTAGGAAGTGGCTGGAGGTAGTGGTCGGAGTAAGGAAATGAATGGGAAATGGTGGTCGAAGTTTGGGAGTGGCAATTGAAGCTAATGGTGCTTGGTGGTGGCTAGCTAGGGTAGGGATAGGGATAAGAGCATCTCTAATAGTGTAACAACCCCTATCCGTAATTAGCCATTAATCCGTATTTAATGATGTTAATGAGTGGATTAAAATAAATTATGTGTTTTACTCTGCCATTTGTATGATTTTGGCATTCTATCTGTTACTTATAGAAATATCTG